ACCAACGTACTCCTCTTTATTGGTGAGCCTCCTCTTTTACCGGACAAGCCGCTTGTGGATATCCGCGCTGCCCGCAGTAGAAGCACAGACCCTCCTTTAATCGACGCTGACGTTCTGCCATCGAAAGCTTGGCGCGGCCCAACTGCATTGGCTCCTCCACGGAGCCAGGGGGCGCTGTTGTACGGAACGCAGGTGGTGAGGGGTGACGGGGCCTCCAAGAAGAAGTAGTATCCAGCGGCGAGCGTCTCCTCTGGAGAGGAGGATCAACCGCATCCTTGGATTTATTCCTTCTCCTCTCCGTCAAACGATTGGCTATCCTTATTGCCATGGATATGACAGAGTCCAAGTCAGCGGGCAGATCGAGAGGCGCCAGCTGGTCTTGTAGGGAATCCGAGAGACCGCTGACGAAAGCGTCAAACAATGCAGCGGAGTTCCAGCCGCTGTCGGCTGCCATAGTCCGGAACTCGATGGCGTAGTCAGCCACACTCCGCTGATGTTGTCGCAGCTTAATCAGAGCCCGAGCTGCTTCCCTGCCCGGCGTGGTTTGATCGAAGATCTTTCTCATAGTGTCTATGAAGTTTTCCAGAGACCCGCAGATGGGGGAGCCTCGGGACCACTCTGCCGTAGCCCACGCTGCTGCTCGGCCGGAGAGATGGGAGATCATGAAAGCCACTTTGGAATTGTCCGTGGGAAAAGCAGCCGGTTGGTGGTGATAGTGTAGCTCACACTGCACGATGAACGTCCGGCAGCCTTCCGAGTCTCCGGAGTATTTTTCGGGTGGAGCCAGACGCATGGAAGTACTGTGCGGCTCAGTAGCCCGGTTGGGATCGGAACCGGTCGCCGCTGGAACCGGAGGAGTCGTAGGAGGAGAAACAGCCTGCAGGTGAGTGAGCATACGCTGAACCGCTGCTGCCAATAGATTTACTTGGGTCGTCACCGATGTTTGTAGTTCCCCATGGCTGTTGGTTAGATTCTGCACTCCCTGCTGCTCCTCTTGTTGCCCAAGACGTTGGCCCTGAGAGCGGATGGCGTTCTTTATCTGATCTGAGTCGGCTGAGTTCATTTTTCTGGTCAGTTCGTACTTTCAAGGAGTGAACTCTGAGTTATGAACTCAATTGCACGACTCAAACTCAGATGCGGATAGTGTTTCAAAATAAAGACTTTACTGAGATTTGCACAGTAATGAAAACAAGGAAAACAAAAACACTCTTTCGAGGAAAACTAGAACAGTGATCAATAACATAGATCCGTGAGAAGTCCGTGAGGTAAGCAGGAACGTAGGTCATAGAGAGACAACGAACTGACAATGAACAGGAGGGAAACACACAGAGAAACGTATGTGAGTGAGTGAGTGAATATTAAATAATTTCATGTTTGAATTGAAAGAGTTCACATGTTTTAAATGTTTCTCTTTTTTTGTCATTTGCAAGTGAAGTGCAAGGGGTTCATAGGATTCACAGTTTTGCACTTCTTTCAGCCCTTCCTGTATTGTTTTTTTCACAATGTGTTGTGTTTTTAGCACGTTTTTATTTGTATGATGTTTTAATGCTTTGTCTAGCATTTTGTGACTTGATGCTTTATACATTCATCTTATTTACTTACTATTAAATTACATTTTTGATTGTTTATTAAATATGATATTATTGTAAATTGTAATTGTTTGAGTTATATTGTTATATCCTCCTAAGAATGCAAGAATAAAATCTACCATATCAATTATCATTACCGAAATTGTGAAACTAATTTCCGAAACACAAATATCATTACCGAAACATGTGACAATTATAGGCTATTTATATAATTAACAAATTATATTTAGCTTTTTAATTAGTGTGCATAATAAGTGAAAAAATGTATATCAGTTTAGCAGCAGGACTTTTAAAATATGTCAAGTTTCCACAAAATATAAAAATAAAACGGCTTTTGGATCAAAGGGGTAGTTGCGGTAATGAGGTAAATGAGTTAAATGAAATAAATGCATTTATGTAAAACAAAATTCCCTGGGTTTCATGCAAATCTGTACAGTCATATCAAGATTTCATTTTCAAAATTATATATATTGTTTTGCTTTTCTAATGTTTTGTAAAGTTGCGGTAATGACATTTTTCAATTACTTTTTTTGGCAAATGTGAAATAAATGTGACATACTGTCAATATATAGCTTCCATATTTATAATCCAAATTACCTAAGATCTTGGTATTTTACTTAAAAAATAAAAAAATAAAAAAATAATAATAGTTTTTTAATAATTCATCTTTGAAATATTTGAAACCAGGATTTCGTGAGAATGTCCCTATTACTTATCCTAGGTGCACATCCAACACATTGTTTATGATCGCAAGGAGACACAGAATCTAACGGTGCCCACCTCAACACTGAAAGATACAAACTCGCGACGTTATCAACAAAAATGTACATCAAAACAAGTGGCGCTAGGTAGCCCACAACACTAACATGGCTTACCTTCGTCTTTGTCTGCTCTAAACTGGTCTTCAATGGCATTAAAACGATAAAAATGATGGTGTAGTTAATCCATAGGTTAATCCAATGTGACTGCGTCCCCTTTGAAATGTTCTGATAATCCATAAGCAATAAAACAGTTTTTCCGTTGCTTGATATCAGAGCAGCGATATTTCTCCCCTCTAAGGCAAGCTAGCATACGCAGAGAGGCTACCTTTTTTTTTTTAACATGAGTGTGTGCGGGACGATTTCCCTTGGATTCTATTGGCTCTAACGGTCAGAAAGTGATGTCACATGTCAAAATCGAAGAAGGGGGGCCAGAGATAAGGAAAATCCACCCAAATGGCCCCAGAAGAGGTTTTTTTTGCTAAATCTGTCTAAAAAGGTCAAATATCACTTGTTTTGCATCAATCTTGATACAGGGTACTTATTATATGTTGTACTTTGGATTCCTAAAGCTTTTAGTCTACTAACCCATCATCCAAGGTTAGTTTTCACCAGGGCCACCCCTCCCTACAGGCCAATCACGCAGGCTGCATGGGGCCCCGCCTTGCGCAGGGGGCCCCGCCCAGAGGGCCTCAGCTGCTGTGCGCAGTTCTCCGCTCAGTTCTCCGCGCACCCCCCACGAGAGTGAGAGTGAGAGGTGACAAGGGGAGCACATCTGTAACCCGACACCGTTGCAATGAATCGACATCTGACCAATCATGGCTTTGATACGGCCACTAGTGCAGGTGAAGAGATGTCGGTGAAAAGACAGTTTCAGTCCGGCGCAAGCAAGAGGGGAAAAAAACAAAACATGAAGAAACTAGAGCATTACTCGAAGGTGGGTTATTGTATGAGTCAAATGTACAACTTGCAAATGTTGTATAAGTCAAATTGCCAATTGCCATATTAAAACATCAGCTGCAATTCATGACATGAAGAAGGCAGTCTCTGCATAGCATATAGGCTAATGGAGATGCAGTTATTTCCAGCATTCTTTATTTAACATTCATTCAAGTATGTTATGCCTTTTATCTGCTAATGTACAGGAGGAAGAGTGATAAACTGTCTGTCTAGTTGGCTTACATAACAGTTAAAGTTTACAGCTTAAAAAACATGGAGCATTTTTTCCCCTTTTATGAATTTTTATGTCAATTTGCACATTTCATGGTGACGCTCAGCCTCTCCCCTTAACTCCTAACAGTCATCATCATGTCAACCACAACACAGAGAAATACTGATAGAAATGTGTGTGTAGTTGTTGATGCATTGCTGACAGAGGGAACTAGAATACAGATTTAAGAAATATCAGTTTTTGAGCATGTCATAAGCATGTTTTGTCTTGACTATATTACAACTATATTATAATAAAATCTCATCTCACAATGTCGCTTGGGGCCCCAAGTTGGCCCTGGTTTTCACTATAAGTACAAAATACTTTTTGGACGGACACTATAATTTACAGTTTTTTACCATGTTCAATCTGAATTTTCTTTAAAATAAAAAACATCTATATTGATTCTGACTCTTCTACATCCAACTCACAGGTTTACCATTATTTTGAGAAAAAAGATTATTAATTTAACCCTTTTAGAAGGGAAGATATGGTCATTTGTGTAGCAAAGAAACTGAACGACAATCCTAAAAATGCTAAATACACACATCAAGAGATCCAAAACGAGATTTTCCAGATAATGGCAGATATGGTCCGAAGTGACCATATCTGCCAGTGCAGAAATGAGGGAAGCTGAATGTTTCGCCCTAATGGTTGACGAAACCAAAGATGTCAGTAAAAGCTAGCAACTGTCCATCGTTGTACGTTATCTAAAAGGAGAACAAGTGCGTGAAGAATTCCTGCACTTCAGACGCACAGAGGGCCTGGACACCGACTCGCTCCTCAGTACCATCAAACAGACGCTCAGCCAATGCAACATCGACCCACACATCTGTGTTGGACAGTGTTACGATGGGGCTGCTGTCATGTCGGGATGCAAAAAGTTTAAAAAGGAGGTGCCAAATGCTTTGTATATCCACTGCCATGCACACAGATTAAACCTCGTGTTGGTTGATGTGGTCCGCAACGTTGAAGCAGCAGCCTACTTTTTTGAAATTGTACAAATTGTCACAATCTTAAGGAGAACCCAAATGCAGCACTCGAGAAACCAAGGAGAATTGGTAATACACTTTATTGGAGATTCCACTGGATCTGAGGAATTCCAACCGAGCAGTTTAACGCACCGGAGGACAGCGGGCAGAAGGTGAGTCAGGGACAGGCAGAGAGTCAGGGAGTAAGCGAGGCGGTCAGCGGGGATACAGGCAGGGTCAGATAACAGGCCAGACAGGATAGTCGAGGGACAGGCAGGATCAGGGAACAGGCAGAGCAGGCAGATCGAGGACAGGCAGGGTCGGAACCGGGTAGGCAATCTAGTTTCAAACGCGGGAAAGACAAGCATGAGGCAAAGTACAATCTGGCAAAGAGTGTGTGTAAGGTGCGGGTTTAAATACTGGCAGAAGCTAATGGGTGCAGAAGAGAAAGAGAGTGAGCTAATGAGTGGGTGTGGAAAACAGGTGAGACAGGTGAATGGAAAACTACTGGTGAATGATGGAGCAGACTATGACACAAATGCTGTACAACTTCTTCGCCAAATCAGTCGCCCATGATATTTTCATCAAGAAACAGAGAGAAATGGAGCCAACTTCACAACCAGTTGAACTTGAATGGAAGCACGCTGGTCATGTCAATATACAGCGCTGGTGGCTATCCGCAAATCACTGCCTGCAGTAAAGGCAACATTTACAGAGATCATGTCTCAGCCCAATGCGCGGAGGAAAACGGAGGCCAGAGCGGTGAGTGGACTAATTGATGAGCAGTTTGTCTTGCTTCTTACGCTTTTCGAGGATCTCTCCCGTGTCACAAAATTCATGTCTGACCAGCTCCAATCTCCCAGCCTTGAGCTGTCCTCCGCAATGGACTTGGCTGATTCGGTCATAGCGACACTGACAGACAGACGCTCAGAGAAGTCATGGAGGGAAATTCAGGACAGAGCAAGCGACCTGTGCACCAAAGCCAATGTAAATCATAATGAGACACCTGAAAGGAGACATGCACAGCCTCCTCGACATCTACAGGAGTTTGTTGTGGAAGCCCAAATCGAACGCAGACCAGTTACATCCCTAGATGCGCTGCGCACAGAGTGTTTCTACCCAGTAATCGACAGACTTGTGGTTGAAATGAGAAGACGTTTCTCAACCGAGGCCGGTGGTGTCCTATCCGGAGTCTCGGCACTCAGCCCCAAACATGCATCCTTCTTAGACAATAAATGTCTGCAACCCATGGCCAAGTTCTATGGAGTGACGGAAGAGAACCCGACCCCAGAGCTACACCAGGTTAAGCGCCTTCTGGAAAGAAAGAAACAACAGGGACATGAACTGAAGGACACAGCGGAATTTCTGGTTTTAATGCGACCCTACAAGGATGCCTTTACGGATTTACACAGACTCATATGCACTTCCCTGACTCTGCCGGTGACCTCTGCTGGCTGCGAACGCAGCTTCTTCTGTCTCCGTCGCATCAAGAATTATCTAAGAAACAGCAGTGGTGATGCACGGAACAGCAACCTGGGCCTGCTGGCTATCAATAAGCAGAGGAGTAAGGCACTGGATGTCCAGCGTGTCAGACATTTTTGCTTCCAACCACAACAACCGGCAGATCATGCTGCTTTGAGAACGTCAATAGTGAGTTTTGAATATATTTTGTAATAATGGGTCATTTGAAAAAGTGTTTTGTATGACAATAGAGACACAGGCCGCCTGTTGTGTGCTGTGTCTGTCTCTCTCTGTTTACCTGTGTCTGTGTCTCTCTCCCTCTCTCTCTGTCTCTCTGCTCTCCATGACTCTCTCTCTCTCTCTCTCTCTCTCTCTCTCTCTATCTCTCTCCGTGTCAATTCTATGCCAACTTTTCTTGTTTCTGTCGCTGCGTAGCATGTTGTAACAACGTGGAATCAGCAGAATGGGCTATTGTATTGTTTAACTCACCTGTTGCTCTCTATGTAATTTAGCTGATAAAATTAGACTAATAAAAGCTAATAAAAGCCTCACGCGTGGCGTTTCACTGTAAAGGGGTACAATATAGCGTGAATGTAATTACATTACAAATACTGACTTGAGCCCCACCACTGTATGGGTTAGCCCTACCATAGATTACCCAACAAAAATGCTAATCGGACAGGAGAGGAGACACGCAGCTCTGCATGATCACCTGCAGCTCCGCCCGCTGTGATGGAGCGATGAGCGGAACAAAACACACATTTCAAGTTAGATCATCACCCTTAACTATTTTAATTACCTCTCAAACTACCTAAACTAGTTATAAATATGTTTATTTTTACTTTCGGGTCACTCATTACTGGATCAGCCAGCTGCATGAGACCACGGATACTGACAGGCTGTCAGGAGAGGGGGAGGAAAAGAGAGGCTCCGTCCTCCGTGTATTATTCTTATATTATTATATAGAGTCGTTATTCATTTGTTTTAAAGCTCAATAAATAACAAAGAAGACCTTTGACCGGCACTTTTCAAATGTTGTCCTGAAGATGTAAACTTTAACAGACATGTTGACCGGCGAAACCCCACCTCTGCTGCTAAATCCAGCGCGGAGAATAAACAGAAAGGCAACCATGGCAACCATGCATGCGCGAGAAGTCAGAAAATCACACATTTTTACGCTTTCCTCATATCTATAAACAAGTGAGACTCAACAGAGACGTTGATAACATATTTGTTGTCTGTTGATTTTCTTATGAACAAGACCATTGCTCTAGTCTACATGTTAATATCGTTAGCGTCATGGCTACCGTTAGCAGCCTGGCTAACGTTACTGTCCAAAGCAAGAAACAAACAGGAAGAATCCCAAAGAAGCAGAACATTTGAACTCAGTGCTTCGATAAAGTCAGGGTTAAACACCCTGTAGTATTTATTAAGTAGCAAGGTGTTGTTACTAATGGCGCTTTTCCACTGCAGCACTTAGCACTAGGGGTAGTTCCGGCTCAGGGCTACCTTTTCAACTTTTTTCTGGCCAGGACTGCCAACTTTTGAGTTCAGCTTGGAGTGAGATTTATTTTTGGGACCTAACCTCCTCTAGGGGGGTCCGGGGGCATGCTCCCCCGGGAATATTTTCTTTGAAATATTGAAGTTAAATGCATCAATCTGGTGCACTTTGAGAGCAAAATGAAGAGATCTATGGATACCTCTCTCAACACCCATATGAAACAGAACTGTAAACAGATTTTCTGTTTCTTTATGGATATTTTACAAATCACTCCCCTTTTAAACTGTAACTTTAAATTGTTTTACTGTCATATAGTATTTCATAACTGTTTTTATTCTCTTATTGTTTTATAACTATAATGATCATATGAAGGTGTGCCTCGGAAATAATTGTTTACATAAATGATGACCAAATCGTTTTAAGACCCACTGCGCTCTCTCTCTCTCTCACTCGGAGCCGTGTTCCGGTGCTCTCCGGCGGCAGCACTACATCCCTGAGTACAGCCATATTGTCATTCAAGAGAAAATACGATGCGTACTTCTTTTGGAAAACATGTTTTTCGTTTAGCCGATCTACCTCGTTAACGTAAATAACTTTCATGGGAGCTCAGCTCCCATTGGCTCCCACATAACTCCAACCCTATCAAACCGGCCCACACCTGTCACCTGTAAAACATGAACAGGGTGTCGCTGTCCAGGTTGCTAGGTGACAGTGCTACGGACCGCGGGTGTCAGGAACAGCAAACAGTGTGACGCAAACAGGAAATCCTCCGTAAGCCAGACCGTCTCATTTCGTAGACCGCTCGGTTTGCTGTTCCTTCACTTTATTTTTATATACATTTATTTTGGACAAAAAAATGTGCGTGAGGAAAGGCATGTGTGGCGTGAGTGCGTGAGATATGTGTTAATTGTGTGACTCTCACGCTCAATGCGTGAGGGTTGGCAGCCCTGTTTCTGGCCCTCCAAAATCGAGGTTCTTACCGGGCCAACAACCGGGCTGACTATGCTAAACTAGTGACGTAAACACTCTCGACTGCTGAATGGTCCGAGAGAATCGCTGGCAAGGGGGCTACAACTACAACAAAATGAATATATTTTACCGTGATTTAATTGTAATACACGTTAAAAAAATTATGCCGAAGTAACAACATACTGATACCGGTCTGCAGACAAGAAGGCAGGCGAAAAACCTTTTAAAATGCAATGCGTGTTTTCTGAATGGCGATCGGATCGATCAGGCTAAGCTAACACTGTATATGCTCCGTCCACACTCGGCCTACAGACATAAATAAACCAGCGACTGTATTCACCATGACACAGACAGTCTGTGGTTTGTACTTGTTTAACTTTTGTCTAGTTTCTGAACAGATATAAGGAGCTGTGAGCTCTGAGTGCTAACAGCTAACGGCTGATGTTTTGGTTTTGTGGTTCGCATTGAAGATGACGTCACGGCAGTTTTACGCAGCGTCGCTCCGCCCGCCAAACAGCCGATCGCCCCGCTTACACTACGTTACTATAGTTACTACCCAAGTTGGTAAACTGTAATGGAAACGCAGCATAAAGTGAGCCTGGCCAAGGCCTAACCATACCGTACTAAGCCGTGCTAGGTCCTGCAGTGGAAAAGTGCCATAACTGGCCTAGTACGTTTTGATCACTCTCCCTCTTTGACTACTTTGCCTTCTTGGTGTCCTGGAAACTGAACTTTTAAGCACATGTCAGGCAGGCAAGTGGCTGTGCTTCTTGAATGGTACGGTCCTGGTGTAGTATAGTGCTTTGTGGAGGACAGAGTTAACCGTGTCGTAGCAGTGCAGCCACGCCTGCTGGAATCCGGGCGTACGCGCAAAGTTCTCTGTCAGGCATGCAGTTTAAATGTTCACGGCTTTTATTGTGAAATGGAGGTCAGGACCTGAACTCAGACAGAATATAATCCATTTCATTTTCAGTGGCTTACAATGAACCAATCCTTCCCCTAATGGTGTCAATATTCCACAGCCATTACATTGTGCAATCTAGATTTTCTTCATAATTTGGAACATGATCTATTTCCTCTCTATGGATTATAACTTTGCTTTAAAGGATACGTTGATGATAGCTCAAGTATATACTGCCTATTCTGGGTTAATATTGAAATATTTTAAAGCATGTGCACTTATAAATCTATCAGATGTTGTGAATAATCTTTGTAACTTTTGTTGTTTAGGCCTTTAATTAACAAAGATCTGTCAGCCATGCAGTTTTTCAGCAGTGTGTGTTTTGTGTTTTCCTACTTTTCCTCTCTTAACAGAAATCGTCATGGGGGAAACATTGGAGAAAGTGTTAAAGTTGGCTGCCGGGGCGGCGCCTCCGTCCGTCACCATCAGCCTCATGCCGAGCTGTTACGACAGTCAGACTGTGTTAAGTGCTGTGGGAGTGTTGCCTTGACGACTATTTTTTGTGGAGTGTTTCAAGCTCCCGTTGGATTTGGGGGGTGGGCGAATGAGTGTGTGTGTGTGTGTGTGTGTGTGAGTGAGTGTGTGTGTGTGTGTGTGTGTGTGTGTGTGTGTGTGTGTGTGTGTGTGTGTGTGTGTGTGTGTGTGCGCGTGTGTGTGTGTGTGTGTGTGTGTGTGTGTGTGTGTGTGTGTGTGTGTGTGTGTGTGTGTGTGTGTGTGTGTGTGTGTGTGTGTGTGTGTGTGTGTGTGTGTGTGTGTGTGTGTGTGTGTGTGTGTGTGTGTGTGTGTGTGTGTGTGTGTGGGAGAGAAGAGCGTGTGTGTGAGAGAGTAAATCAGTGTTGGCTGGAAATGCCTGTGTGACCTAATGCACATCTGTGTGCTGGGTTGATAGACGGAGAGAGTTTTTAAAGAGAAAGTTCCACTTCAGTCTTTGTTTTCAGAAGTGAACACAAACAGACCGACAGACAGTATGAAGGTATATATGGTGCAAAATGTGAAAGCTTGTAAAACCTGATGTGAGCACTTGCAGTAAAAAAAATCTGAGCTTGTGTGCATACATTTACACTTGTATAAAATATCCACGTATCTGTGAACCAAATTTGAAGTCACAGACAAAAAAGAAAAGTTTTGTAGCTTGTAGAAAAAAATGAACTTAGTGATGAAATGTTCACTTGCAGAAAAAAATATATTTTTTAAATATCTCACAGTTGCCCCTTTCACACCAACGCAGCTCCCGTTCTAGCTCCGTGTGAAAGGGGCAACAGTCACAGCCATAGTCAGGTCGAACCGGATGACTGCGGGGTCACTGTCAAGTCTCCTCTGATTTTGCTTGCAGAGTTCCCCACTTGAAAGGGAATTGAGGCACCTACCAGACTTTAAAACAGGATTCCACTCCAATGACACAGATTTTTCTTTTCAGACTTTTTATTTCAGCTGTTTTACTTAAATCAAATGTCCAATTGCTGAATGGGTCGCAGGTTTTTCCTGTTTACGCCACAGCGGAGCCGGCTCTTTCCCCCGAAAACCGGTTCTTACCAAGCTCGAACAAATTGTCAGTCTAGAGCAGTGTTTCTCAAACTTTTTCATACCAAGGACCACTTAACCCAGGGGTACTCAAATACAAATCTTAAAAGGTCCAACATAAATGTTTCAATAAGACAAAGGTCCGTTTATTACGGTCATTCAAACTTTTAAACAAATGCAACAAGATTCTTAACATGAGGTTGCAAAAACAAAAATAATCTGTATGCCGCAGTTTTCATTGTTATTGTGTCTGTGCTTGACCCCTCAGAGTCGCAGTGTAAGAGCTGCACAGTTATGAATAAAGGCAGCTGCACCCTCTTTCATTCAGCATTCCCATTATTGCTTTATAAATGTCTTGCCCCCTTGTGTGTCCACTGAGGTTCGTCAGGCCCAACACATCTTCAACAAACTCCCCCTTTGCCTCATCATAAAAACTCACAAACACCAGCAACTGAGCATTGTCAGTGGTGTCAGTGCATGGACTCACCCACAGCTAAGGAAATGCACTGTGCATTTTTTATTCCATCACAAAGATGATTAATCAAATCACCGGCCAGTATGTATGTTCTTCTGGTTGCTGTGGAATCTGAGAGGGGGATTTGCTTGATTTGACCTGTTATTTCCTCTTTTTGTTTGCCTTCAACATGGTCTCCATCACTTCAGTCATGCATTCTTTTATACTGCAGTTATTATCCAGTGGAAAGTCCTTACCTACTGGCCTAGTTAAATCAAAGTGGTTACTTTTTTTTGGCTGGGCAGTGTAGTTTTACACACCGTCTTATTTGACTTTCTCAGGACTTAAAACTGTTTTTTGGGGGCAGACCCCCTCAAAGAAAAAAATATATTTACACACATAAGGTCATCATCTTAATAGTTTTGTATGCTCATCCGTGAGCAGAGCATCAAGTTGACATGTCTATTACAGCTGAATGCGGCAATTACGATTTCGTTCAGCAAAACGCCTCACAAACGTATTAAGATCAACAGCTTTAGTGCGTTTTGATTCAATGCTGAGTATAGCCAAACTGACAGTCTCTTCTCTGTCATTGTAGACCGCAAATACCTCATTCCTTCAGTGCTTGGGTCCGAATGCTTCTCGTTTTGCGCCGTCCCGTTCAAATGAAATCGCCGCCAATCATATGTCCACGCTCGCGCCAGGATCGGGGGAGGGGTGACATGACGTGCATCTTGTGCTGCATTCACTTGCACTCGGACATTAGAGACGTTCTCTCATAAATGTCCGATGAGCCACAACTTTTCTTTCAAAACAAAGCTGCCAACTGGAGTGGCAGCTGGGGTGGCAAGGCCTATTTTTAAGGTGTCAGTTGCCATCCCGGTAGGTGAAACTAGGCTACTAGCTACAGTACAGGTGGAACTAGATGAGCTGTTAACTCTGTTTTTTTAAACTCTCGCTCTGACTCAGACAGGTTGAAAGAGACGAGACACACATTTTTCCCACCCGCATTCCGGGAAGACCGCAGATTGTTTGGGGGGAAAAAACGCTGACGGAATTCTGAATGTGATTGGACCAATGCGTTGACAGACACACACAGACAGTGGAACAGGACATGCAGAGCGCTGTTTGCAGTCAATGGACATGATAGCGGATCATTTTGACTCGTTGCGTTGTGGCGATGTCTCACAGATAACACAGATAATACAGATAATACATATGAAAAGTATAATTTGCTCAGAGTCCAGAGACAGTTGTGGTTCGGTCCGGATCGGAGTCCAGACTTTCAGGATGCCTGACTTAACCAATAAAAAAACACTCGCGTACCACCTAACTCCACAAATATCCAAAAACACATCGTTTTTAGCAAATCGCCTGAAAATGGTACAAACAAGTGGCCACATGTGTGATGAAGGTGTTTATCTGGGCTATATCATGCAATCGAAAGTGAAACTTAAGCTCGCTCCATTGCGGAGATATTCCCGCGAGAGTGCGGAAAACTTTAATTAATTAATTAATTTCAAATGTGAAATGTTACCAATATACTCACGGACCACTAGGGGGCGCTCACGGACCACCAGTGGACCATACTTTGAGAAGCACTGGTCTAGAGGCAAGAACCGCATACGTCACGCTTACGTCTGAGGGGGGCGAGATTAACCTGAGCTAACAGTTTATGGCGAGTACGGCAAATACAAGTTGAAACAAGCGCAAGCGCTGAGCAAAGTAACTAGTAGAAAGCAACCACACACTTTATAAAAAAAACACACTTTATAAAGTCGGGCAACACTAACCAGGCTTCGTGTGATTCTGTTTATTTGTGCCTTACTTTGACCATCCGTTCACTGTTATTGATCATTGTGGAGAGATGCAGACGTTTTGTTTTGTATTATAGCAGCTATCAGAGGGAATCAATACATGGGCTGCACAGGTTGTCATGTCCGTCTATCACAAGTAGAATCATAATGAAAAATACGCTGGTAAAATGTGCCTGTAGAAAACGGCTTATGCCACAATAGGATAGCAACAAGCAGTCAATATAGTCACTTTAGCTTCGGTTGCTATGCTAACATCACTCATTTTATACCAGAGAAACTTTCAAAACAGCGTTGTACTTGTGATGCCAAACAGCATAAATTCATACTGAAACACATTCACTTATGGGGAATTGGGGATATTTATCAGCTGCTTGTGCGACAGTCAGACAGTGAATACTTTACAGAGGCCGCTGCTGTGAGTTAACGGGAGAATAAACTCCGGTGGACGAGCAGCACTGCAGCGGTCGGTAAATGCCGTTGAAACACATTAATAAACAATGAGAAAAGTATAAGGTTGGAGAAGTAGTTATTTAATTTAATCTGGCTTTGTATCATTAAAAGTAACATGATCATCGACCCGACGCAGTCCCCCATTGTTGTTGTTGTTGTTGTTGTTGTTGTTGTTGTGAGCGCCGTTGGGGAGAAAATCAGTGACGTAAACGGTGATGTCATGACGCAGCAGCACCAGTTGGGCTCTGGGCGGTGTGAACAAAACGGGAGCTGAAAAGAAAAACCGGTTCCGAACCAGAAGAGTGCAAGCACGGAGCTAGAACGGGAGCTGCGTTGGTGTGAAAGGGGCAACTGTGACTGTGTGACTGACCCGAGTTTGCGCCTCATCGTTCTGATAGCTCTGCCCCTTCGCTCCACCCCCCCAAATCTACCGGTGAAAATTACTTTAGCAACACATACATCGCAAGAAGTGTAGCAAAAGTCAAGGCCGCAGATTCGTCAATTTATACTTCTACAGCAACTCAGTCTCAAGGCATTTCGTGTTATAGTCACGAAATTAATGTAATCTATTGATTCGTGTTCATCAACACGATTTTCGCATTTTTCTCGTGTCACACAGAACGATTTTAAAAGCAATGTATTTCTATTGGTAGTATGTTTCGTGCCTGCACCACGTCTTTTTGTCCGGTCGGGTCTTGGAAGACTGGAAGCTGTGTGGTTCATAAAAACATGTTCTTACTCAATATCTAACCCTAACCCTTTTATTTTAAATTGTATAATGTCGGAGTTTTTTTGCCGGCCGCGAGGAAAATAAATGGGGCTCAGAGCCTCAGAATACTGAAATCTGTATTTTTGTAATCTTTTTTTCCTTCTAATTTGTTATTATTTAGTGCAGAAACGAAACATACTACCAATAGAAATACATTGGTTCTAAAATCGTTCTGTGTCAGAATACTGAAATCTGTATTTTTTTTACCTGTTTTTCCTTCTAATTTGTTATTATTTACATTGCTTTTAAAATCGTTCTGTGTGACATGAAAAAAAAATTGCGAAATTGTGTTGGTGAACACCAATAATTAGATACATTTCGTGACTATAACACGAAATGCCGTGAGACACATGTGTTGGCCACAGAGCAGATTCGTGAAGTTCTAATGATTGATTTGAGAGGTTGTAATAACCAAGAAAATATATTTAATATATTTATTTCTGTGTGAACATTTCATCACTAAGTTCATTTTTTTTATACAAGCTAAAAAACTGTGACTTCAAATTTGGTTCACAGATACGTGGATATTTTATACAAGTGTAAATGTATGCACA